GGCTGCCCCCAGGGTTCATTCAGCATTCCCTGCTGGCAGCTGCTGCCTCTCACCCCCAGCCCCAGCTGCACTTGCTCTGGGAGAGTTCCCCAGCTTCTTGCAGGATGGGGAATTTGCTGTGTTTGTTTGATGGCCCAGGTGACTCTGCTCCATGCCATGTCCCTGGCAGAGGTGATGTCCCTGTGTCTGGTTCCCTTCCAGCACCCAGGGATGTGTGCCCATGCCCATGTCCCTGCAGAGGGCACACAGGGGGTGGCTGTGCCCATGCCCATGTCCCTGCAGAGGGCACACAGGGGGTGGCTGTGCCCATGCCCATATCCCTGCAGGGGTAACCGTGTCCCTGTGTCTGGATCCAGCACCCAGGGCTGTGTGCCCATGCCCATGTCCCTGCAGAGGGCACACAGGGGGTGGCTGTGCCCATGCCATGTCCCTGCAGGGGTAACTGTACCCCTGTGTCTGGTTCCATTCCAGCACACAGGGGTGTGGGCCCATGCCCAGGCCGTGTCCCTGCAGGGGTAACCGTGTCCCTGTGTCGTTGCAGGACGGTGGCAGCTGAGGTCAGGAAGCAGATCTCGGGCCAGTATGGAGGCTCCCCGCAGCTCCTCAAGAACCTCAACATCGGAGGCAGTGTCTCTCACCACACCACTGTAAGTCATGCCTGCAGCTCAGGCTGCTCCCCACACTCACTGCACCCCTGGGAGGAGCTGCTCTGCTGACAGCTTGTTGATGGGAGAGGCTCTAATAACACCAAGGACAAAATTCCATGCAAAACCCACTGATTTTGGGGGTTTCTGTGTTGCAGATCAGTTGGTGTGGCTGGGAATCTGTGTTTCTGTAGAATCTCTGTAGGACAAGGGGCTTTCTTGAGCAGATATTAGTTGTTTTATCCCCAAACAGCCTGCATTGGGCATTAAATTCCATTCTCTCTGCATGGAGAGCTCTTTGCAATTCCTGCACTTCAGGTTGCTGTTTTCCTGTCCTGGTCACTCTGGAGAGCAGGTCCACAGCAACTCATCTGCTCTTCTGAAATATTTTAAATATTATTGTGCAAGCTGAGTGTGGCTATTCCTTGTATTTACTTACAAGTTTACAGCCCACTTTGAAGAGCTGCATTGTTACAGTCACCCTTTCTGAAGTCAGACTTTCTTGCTTGGCCTGCCAGTAACCTTCCAGATTTATTGTGGTAAACATTTCAAGAGTGCAACAAACTTTTTCAAGCTGGAAATGTTTGATTTGGAGTTTCACTTCAGGTCACAGCAGTTCCTTTTGCTGCAGTCAACTTGGAAAATAAATATTGGAGCATCTTGTTTCCTTCAGAGAGGGGTGGCTGGGTCAGGCAGGGCTGGAAATGTGCCCTGAGTTTAATGGTCTGTGCAAGTGTTGGGAGTTTACAAGAGTTCTTCTCTCTGGAGTGGGGTCCTGTAGTGTTTCCTCGGTTTCCTGGGGTTGTGGGGATGATTCCTTGGGAATTCCCTCTGTGTAACCTGAGTGTAACCTGTTAGATTTTCCTCCTGTGGGGCACAGAGGTGTCCTCAGAGCTGAGTGTCACCTCAGCAGGGACCTCCAGGCTGAGCTGTGGCTCACAGCAGTGACTGCACTGCAGGCACAGAGTTCATCTCTGGGGTCTGGCTGTGCCAGGGCACTGGGATGGAGGAGGGAATTCTGGAATTCTGGAATTCTGTCCTGTCCCAGCAGCTCAGGGAGAGCAGAGGCTGCTCTGCCAGCAGCCTGAGCAGGTTAATGAGAGGGTTAATGAGAGAAGGGTTAATGAGAGCTGCTGGCCAGGCTCATGCCTTATCTCAGTGCCTCTGCTGGGCTGTGCAGTGATAATGCAAAGCCCTGACCTGGCAGTTCTGGATGGTCTTTTGCATAATCCAGCATTAGGGCAGGGAGGGTCCCCTGCTATTAGCTGCACTCAGGGTCACTGGCTCCACTTGCCTGCAGCCCTGGGCAGCTGAGGAGTGCACTCCCACTGGATATCCATCCCAGGGGCTGCTGGGCCTCCCTTGGCCACCTTGGTTCATCTTGGGAGGAGTTGGCTGTATTGCCTTTGTGCTCTCATCAAGTGAGAAGTCTTCTGTGAACCTCTCCAGCTGCTCCTCACCCAGCCATGTTTGTCATCAGTTTTTCCTTGTTTCACCTCTTTTCACTCTGAATTATTTTTTGTCTACTTTTTTCTCCTGTTCCTGAGGTTTTTGCATTCTGCCACCAACCAAGTATTCATGCTCAAAGCTTCAGTCCTGTTGATCTTCACATGTAATTTTTGATACAGGATCAGACTTGTTGGTCATGGTATTATCAGTAGCTCTCATTACCCTGTTGCCCTGGTGTTTGCTAGTAAATATATGCAAGGATCTATAAAAATGCTGGAAAAGGTCATGCTGGCTGGAAGCAGCCTCTGAGCTTTTGCTATCAGGCTGCATTGTGTGATGGCTGCTGTGATAAGCTCCCAGTTTGTCACATTAAATTGGGTGCTGAGCAGAGAAGCTCTGCAGAAGCCTGATTAACACGGGGTGATGGTTTGTAGGAGATAGTCTGTAGGAAAAGTCTATTTAGTTAAGTCATGAGTCTGTATCCTGAGGCTGCATAATGCAACAGAGGTTTGCTTGTCTGAATTTTGGGTTAATTTCTCTCCCCGAGGCATCTGTGAGGATCTGCTGTGCCTGCCTGGCCTGGTTTGATAATCAGCATTATGCAGGGGAAAGCATTGCTGTGTGAAGCTGGAAAAGTTCACTTCTGTGCAGCCACACTGGTTTAAAAGCCTAAAGGAGGGCATGTAGTGTGGGAGTGAGTAGGAAATTCCTGCTGCAATGTTGTGTGGTTGAGGTTGCAGCATCTCCACAATGGCAGCTGGCTGGGATGGGGGCTCCAGCCTGCCAGAATTCAGAATTATTTGGCCAAAGCTCTCAGGGATGCACAGGGTGGGATGGCTGGGGGTGTCCTGTGCAGGGCCAGGAGCTGGAGTGGATGATCCCAGCTCAGGACATTCCATGATCCTGTGATTCCAGTGGTTGTGCAGATGTGGTTTCATCCCCACCTTGCTCACTGTGCTGAGAATTCTGCTCCAGGAAAGCTCAGCACTGATGGTTTGTCTGAGAGTCTTACCAGTCCAATGGAGGTATTTTGGTGGAGAAATGGAGTTTTTGTGAATGAAACATCATGCTTGCTTGGGCCTTTTGTTTCTTGTCAGCTGAGGCCAGTGCAGGGATGTTCTCCACTCCACAGAGCTGCCCTGGTTGAACCTGGGATAAATGCAAAACCCTGTCAGCTGAATTTTAGCAAGTCTCTTCCCTTTTGCCTCACAAGCAGCAGACAAAATGCTGCCAGAACTGTTTCTAATTTGGTATCTGGTAGAGCTGGGGAGAAGACACTGCTTCCAAATGAGTTTATTATTGTCAGCCTCCACCCTCCTGCCACTTTAGGAGTAGCTGATGTTAATTGCACATTCCTCAAACCCCAGACACAGGTCCAAGGCCCTGAGAGGCTTTTCCTGAGTAACCCAGTGTGCCAGGCTGGGTTCCTGGCAGGCTCCTGCAGCTCTGAGCATTTTCTTTTTGCAGCCCACAGCAGAAGGCACTGACAGTTTGTTAGTGGGGAATCAGAGCTGTGAGCTCAGAGAGCTCCATGAAGGAGGGTTTATTTTTCTGAAGTTATTTTTGCCAGTCTCTCCAGGCCCACTGGTGAGTGGGGTGTGCATTTGCAGCTTGCTGGGTGTGCTGTGCCTTGGAATCCTCGGGCTGTGCTCACCCTGGCTGCCCCCAGGGTTCATTCAGCATTCCCTGCTGGCAGCTGCTGCCTCTCACCCCCAGCCCCAGCTGCACTTGCTCTGGGAGAATTCCCCAGCTCCTTGCAGGATGGGGAATTTGCTCTGTTTGTTTGATGGCCCAGGCTGTTTACTATGGGCCATTATAATCCCTCATGACTAACCACTTTCTTTTCTTCCCAAGTTTGTTTTTTCTGTGGAGCAGCTCAGTTAACTCTGTCTGCTGGAAGAAGATAAAGACTTATAAAATCTTGGACTTTTTTTTCACTTCTGAGTGCCAAGGATAATAACTGAAATTTTTTTTGGTTGTTGTCCAAAACTTGATTGTTTTTCTTCCCAAGGAAAAGTTCTCTTAATGTTTAAAAACCTTTTCAGGTCTTTTTTTTTCTATTTCTTTACATCTTTAGAGGTATATTTTAATGGTTGGACCTAGTGCAGAGGTCTGGTTGACAAGATGGTGTTCAGTCAAAGTTTGGGCATGGATGATCTCGGAGGACTTTGCCAACCTTAGTGATTCTGTGATTTATTTATTTAGGAGAGCAGCTTTTTACTGAACTTGCAAATAAGCAGAGTGAATATACATTCAGTTGTTCTATAGAAAAATCACAGCTTTTCCAAGGGATTGGGTGTGATATTTCTGATGTATGTAACAGCAGAGATGATTATTGGTATGTAAAGGAACACTGATATAAGAGATGCTAATTAGTCTGGGAATAAAGGGGTCTGGATTCTTGGATGTGATGTGATCTGACCATGGCTGCTCTCAGCACTTCATTTTCTCCTGTAAAATGAAGGTGCTGACATTTACATATCTCTGTAAAGCACTGCTGCCTTTATGGGCATTATCTGGGCTAATTGAGCCTTTGTCTTGGATTTATGGGATGTCAGACTTTGGCCATGTACTCAAAGATAGCATCTAATTATTCAGTAAGAGAATATAGGTTCCTTTGTACATTTCCATTGTTTATTTTAATGTCATTTAGGAGAAGAAGAAAAGGTGACTTGTGCAAATGAATGGGAAGCACAGCAAAGGAAAACATGACAGTGTCCTGTGTGGCACTGAAGGGGCATTTTGGAGCGCTCAGAGCCAAGTAATTTTATCACCAAAAATTGCAGAGGAGAGCGAGCCAAGCCTTTGTGCTGTCTCAGGGCTGATGGAGGCTGGAGGGTGCCTCCCATTATTTGTGTTTCCTGCAGGTTTTGCCCTGCCTGGCTGGAGGGTTTGTCCTCATCAGGCAGGGGAGGATGGGAGAGGCATCCACATCCTCTGGCTGCCTCTCCCTGGCACTGCTCACAGCGAGCTCTGCCCTGGTTTGGGCACTTGCTGTGGCTCATGGGAATGCTGCTGTGCCATGGCTGAGGGCAGCAGCGAGCTGGGGCACAGGGCAGGGCTGCTCACCTGCTCAGGGGAGCCTGCTGCCCACTGGGAATCTTCAGTAACCTAAACAGTGTTAGCAGAGATCAGTACTCTGAACTAAATGATGTTATACCAAATAATTGTTAATAAACAGGCTGGGGGTGCTCACCTGGAGAGGAGAAGGATTCAGGGAGAGCTCAGAGCTAATTCCAGAGCCTAAAAGGCTCCAGGAGAGCTGGAGAGGTACTGGGGACAAGGGACAGGACCCAGGGAATGGCTCCCACTGCCAGAGGTTGGCTTTTTGGGGAATTTCCTTGCTCAGAGGGTGCTGAGCCCTGGCCAGGCTGCCCTGGGGCTGCCCCATCCCTGGCAGTGTCCCAGGCCATGGGACAGCCCTGCCATCCCTCCCTGCAGGGCAGAGAGTGTCCCCTGCGAGCTCAGAGGGGCTGTGACAGGATGTCCCACTCAGGAGAGCGCTCTGTGCCTGGCAGGGCCCAGGGCCACCAAGGCCACCAGGGCCCAGGGCC